GTATTTTAACTTTACCAATACTCCAGCACCAGGATCAGCCTTAAACAAAATAGTGTCATTCAGCTGACCTGCTCAGGCACACTTTTCAAGTTTCACCACCAGCAACACCCCCCCCCCCCTCGCCTGGGGTCAGAGTGCAGTTTTGGGGTGATCTGTATCAGGTCAATCGGGTAGGGGAATTTGTCTCAATCCCTTACAAATGTGTGTGCAAAGGATGAAAAAGATCTGTCAAACACTTTATGAGTTATTATGCTAATGCTGGGTTCCCCAATTCCGGATAAAATTTGCAGATCTCCCAGCTCATTTTTTTGCTATCAGTTTGCCACACTGCTTTAATCTTGGGCTGATCGGTGTCATAATTTAATGATTTTCAGCTTGTCATGCATAACATGCCTCTGCAAAGCTTGAAAAAGATCTGTTAAATACTTTTTGAGTTATCATCTTAAGGGGATCAAGTGTAGAAAACCAGCCTTCCCTTTGCTATTACTATAGAGTGCTGCTTCACTTTTGGGGTGATCCGTCTCAAAATTTTTATCAATTTCAGTTTGTCTCCCATACAATGGCTCTGCAAAATTTGAAAAACATTTGTCAAACATTTTTCGAGTTAGCGTCTAAATAAGAAAGTGTCTGTGGCAGCTGTGATGGTGGCCAAAAGCATCTGTATCTCCATCCACGGAATGCAAATAGAGGAGGTATCTGCTTTTCATGACTAATAATGCATTACAAACAATGGGATCATTTTACCAGGGTTGGACTGGCCATCTGGCATTTTCCCAGTGGGCTAATGGGGTTGTGGGCTGGCAAAATTGAGATCTACCCCCACCGCACCACCCTTGACTGCCAAAATTCATCATTGGGGATCCCCCCAATGATCATATCATAGGTATGCATGTGTGCTGGACCTGTATGGCCAAAAGCCGAGGGCTGATTTTTAATGCCAGTCCAACGCTGCATCTTACTGTTGTGGGAACCATTTCTCAAGCCTTCACTGGGTATTGGTAAAGGTGTCAGCTGTCAGAAAGATCTCAGTGCTTCTATCCCTGAACCACAGCACAGAACCTGACACATCTGACCACAATGAATGCCTGTATTGGTATTTTTGAGTTAAGATCGTACCAAAGAAACAGTTTAATGGAGATGTTATTCATACTGACCTCGTTTTTCATAATCTGATTATTTTTTTTCTATTCCCATACAAAAGGCTGTCTGGCTCTGGATAATCTTGGTGTCACACACCTTGCTATTATTATTATTCATTCCGATGTGTCTTCTGATGCACACTTTATCACACATATCAAAACACGGAGCCGGGAGACAATGGAAAGCGCTGAGCTCAGCACCTGAATCCAGCAGCAAGCAGTGACCTGGCCCCATAATGAAAGTCCTGCGAAGGGCTGTACTAAACCCTACTGCTTTACCAGATACACGGTCTTATAAATAGATAAAAACTTTTGTTTAAAGGATGACCTAAAACTGTTTAAATCAAGAGGGTACAGTTTCCTCCTAAAGACATTAAGACAGTGGGAGGTGTGTGTCTCAGAGGGGTAGGACTTGTGGTCGGAAGGTCGCTGGTTCAAATCCTAGGGCTGGCAGACTGATGTCACTGTTGGGCCTCTCAGCAAGGCCTTTACCCCCCAGCTGCAGGGGTGCCGCATGCTGGCTGACCCTGTTTTAAATACTTTTTAACTAAAGAAGCGATTTGGTTAACTTTCCTCCTTGATGGAAATAATTTTAGGAAAAGCAGATGGTGCCACGCTTTTGGTCACCTTGGGCAATTGACTTGATTCATAGAAATAGCCAGAAACAACATTATAACATTTTGTAGCAGGTAGCTAAGTCCTACAATTTTCACTCTATCCCTAGGAATATCATTATCAAAACTTTTAAACCGATAATAAAATACACAAAAACTAAATAGAAATGTAATGGTTTAAAATAAAATTAATGAAAACAAATAAAACCACACTGACTGAAACGAAGCAGAATTTCAAATAATGAATGCAAATAATATGTATAAAGATAAAAACTAAATTTAAAAAGTAAAACTATAATAAAACCGTGCCATGGTGGACAGGTATCCCATTCAGAGCACTCTCTGCTTGGTGCTATACAGTGTACCGCCTGGGAACAGCCGTGGGCCCCCATCAAGCTCGGTACTGGATGTACAGTAAGGAGACACTTCGATAGGTATCATGCAATCCCTGAATAAATAAACAAGGAACGGAAGCTAGGATAAGCTGAGAATATTTCTAAACTTCTCAAGAAATCTTAAGAGTTTCAGCTTCTGGATTTGATTGTGTAACTCAAGGAAAAAAAACAAACAGTATAAGCAGTCACACCTCTTGCTCACCAGCTCGTTACACACATTCACTTTACATCACTGCTGCTGAGATACTCCAGGCTTAGGGTGGACTTGCTCTGGCTCACTAGCTAAGTAAGCTTCTTATGCTTATGGACCACGATGAGCAGCCTTGCTGCCAGCTCCCAGCACTGGCCGAAGCAGAGACCCATTAACATGGTCACAGGGCCCTGGGCTTCAGCCTGGTTAAGCCCATGCCTCGCTGGGGGGGGAGGAACCAGGAGCAGAGACCTCCCATTCGAGTAGAGTGGACCCAAGATATTGAATTCAGAATTTGGTGATTGTTGACACACCACAGCACGCAGTGCACAACAATGAAATGTCTCCTCTGCATTTAACCTATATGTCACATCATGACATAGCAGGGGGCAGCTAATTCAGCGCCTGGGGAGCAGTGCTTGGGGGTGGTACCTTGCTCAGGGTACCTCAGTGGTAACTTGCTGGTCGGGGATTCAAGCCAGCAATCTTTCAATTACAAAGATTCCCTAATCATTGTTTTATTGCTTATTAAAACTAATGGCTGTATTTCTGTACAAAATTACCTGCTATATGCTTAAAACAATTGAGACGGTGACATTTCCAAAAGAATCGTGAAACTTTGTTTTCGTATTTAATTCTTGTATATTTTGATGAAGATTATTAAACTGCACACTTTTCGAAAACAGTTGATTGTTCTAACAATAAATTATTCACAAGCCAATACGATGCAGAGATTGCAGTAAGACAGTAAATGATTTAAAGCCTTAATTTCTGGAAATACCTTCCATTTCCACTACTTCTTGGATTTTTTTTTTTTTCGAAAATGCAGAGGGGTTGCCATAGAAATGGGGCCACTGCAATAGTGACTCCTGTCTCTGTGCTAACTCTCATCTGCAAGACGGCACTCCCTCGGAATAAGATAAAGAAAAACAAACGCTATCATCTAGTTTGCCTTTATTTTCCACACTCATGCGTCCATCCCTCCACCTGCTAGTGGTTTATCCTGCTCAGGATTGTCTGGTGGGAGAGCATTAAACTGGGGTGAACCCAGGAGGGGATGCCAGTCCATCGCAGATTTTCTACATTTATTGTTAAAATACTATCAGTCACCAACTTCCAGTGTGTTACTGTGGAACATTGTTGGGCGTTCACACCTACAGACATTTAGGCTCTCAGGCAAGAGTTATGATTCAGCATTAATCATAACAAATGTGTACTTGATGACTGATTGTTTCCTTAGATACCATGTCTGCTGTAGAGTTTTGCCAGGAAATACACAATTAGTGTGTATTTACCAACTTGGCTGCAAGAATACATCAATGGCACAAACAGAAATGAAATTAATTAGTAGAGAAGTGATCCCTTGACTCACTGTGACCAGACTCAATGTCTGCGACTCCAGAAAGGCCATTGAACTCCAGTTCCTTATTCTGAGGTTTTAGGTGACAGAAATTCTTTTTAAATAGTGCATCTAGTTTACAGTCAATGATGATGTGCGTCTGTTTTTAAAATGACCAATTTTACATGTCAACAAGCAACTAAGTAGAGAAATTACAACACACACATTATTTGTAATTGTTTCATTTCAAATGGGAACAGGTAATTTAGTTTTTTTTTTTTTTTTAACTGTATAATTATGGTTTTGTCTTTATGAATATTTTACATTTACATGCAGTTTCAGGAACTAAAGATAGACACAAACATTTAATAACCATCTCACTAATTACGGGTGATTGTTTCTTTGGAGCCTCGGAAAAAGCCTGTGATCCTTTGCGGGTAGGAAAGAATATGCAAGATGACGAACTGGTGCCCTCTAGTGGTGCTGTGCTAAAGCTGTCACTTCACTAGCTAAGGAAAACGCGCGTGCCAGTCCTCTGATGCGCTGTATCACCCGATTCAGTTGTACAAACAGATCAATAAGCTTCCCGAGCTTATCGACCTGAACAATCAGGTCTTCTGTTTAGTAGGCTAATTTTATTTGCCTAATGGATAAATTTGGGGTACTGATCCTAAATAATGGAATAATGAGTCAAGGTACAGATAAATAAGTATCCCCTCTGGACCCCAAGGACTGTTACGTGCCAGGCTTAATCCCATGATAGAAGTGCACTGGATTAGGGTCACACAGCGGAAATACAGGGCTCTGTGCTGTTCCTTTCAGGTTGTTACCCTAACGTATGCATTTCACCTCCCCTGGATACCAAGAAAAGAGTTAATATTTCAGATGGGGCCAGTGAAGACCTTATTAACCTATTTCACCTCATATTGTCATATGGATTCCGGATTCCCCAAAGCTTCTGCAACTCATTTAAATAATGACAATAAATTTACCTCTAATCAAAGTAATTGGTCAAAGTGAATGCTCTAAACAAGGAAATGACAACAAACAAAATCTAAAGGGATTATTTATGCATTTATTTTAGGTGATAATGGGTATAATCGGATAATCGGCAGTATTTTGTTTAAAAGAAACACTGAACGGTGTCATTTGATATTTAAAACTGGCACTGCAAGTGTGTGAAACTCTTTGGAAGAGTCCAAATTTTTTTTGCCCTTTCAACATTCACCACATATTCAAATTAATTCTCTCGGAGTAAGAAAACTACAGTAAAACGCAACAAAAGCCGACACCACGACAGTGACAAAAGCACGACGACTCCAATAAAACTGTACAGATTTAATGAACACTGCATTATGCCATTTGATTAAAAAGGACATTAAATTAAAAAGGACAAGCTTGAAATTTTATTTTATTGCTGGTCTAAAACAAAACATTTCAATTTAAAAATTCAACTCAAACAGGTTTAGTGCAATGAAGCATCAAATGCTTTGTTATTTGCTTAATTTATACTTCAATACAGTTCAATTCTCATGCATGAAGAGAGAGCAGCACACAACAGATAAAAGGGTGACTGATGGATGACACTAATTGGCTTTATGTGTTCACTGCCTGCCGTGTACTTGTTGGAAAACCCGTCCAGAGCATATATATCACACACACTCACACACATAAGTTACATTAGTTAATACATTCTTATTAAACTGTTCCATCGATTCCCGAAGTGTCACTTTGTCAGTGGGACTTTTGTTCACTATGTTATGAACTCCCAGCAGGAGAGATTTAAGGCACAATGTAACTACTGCAATTCTGAGACATGGGGCTGTGTTACCTAACACCTAATTTTGCATCTTGTTCCTATACGAACAATTTCACAACAAAAGCAAAAAAAGAAGCAAAACCAAGAATGGAACTTTTTACGTAAAACATTTCACAGTCGTTGGTTTTACCCCTTAATACCCATACAGTGTACATTTAGTGGTCCTTAATAGTGCAATAAAGCTCAGAAGCGCGAGCATAAAAATCAACAGACCAAATATACATATATAATTACTATTATAATTCCATGAACGCTACCAGGTGATTTTCACAGAGAGCACAAGTTTGGTAATCAGAGCAGATCCAGCAGCACAGGGTATTATTACTTGGTTACGCCCAACAGCCACCTAAGCCCAGCTGATTGTGAAGTTCTGACTGAGGTTGAGACCAAGATCTCTCACGGTTAAAACCTGGACACAAAAAAATATGGTGGGGATTTAATGACCGTTTCTGGTTGAATGTACAGAGCCGCTTCCCCAGCGCTTTGGCCGACGCTGCCACCTACCTGATTCGCCTTGTATGTAAAAGGGACGTCCTGGGAATTCACAGTTACATTGGTCGGTTCCTTTTTCACTCCAAAAAAGGACACAGTCTCCAAAGTGATGTAGGTGGCCTCTGTGTTCTCATGGAGCACTTGTGAAGTCATCACATTCTGGTGAAGAAGAAAAAAAGGAAATTGCACATTACATAGCCTGTCTTTGTAGCGGAATGTCCCAACGTGCAGGAAGAACAATCAATCTTCACCAGAGTCAGGTAGAGTTTAATTTCTGTCCTGCTAAAAATATATCGAGTTTCCAAAAACACAGCAGCGTTGAAAAATAGGCCTCTACGGTGAAGGCTGTGCCATTTCTAGCTAGCTGTGTGTTTTTCTCTGTTTTTGTTTTAAAGATACTTCAGTGAAGTCAGCACATTCCTTAAACGATACTTAAAATATAAATTCTCTTGTTACATGGTGGGTCTGGAGGTTTGAAAAACAGCATCTGAAAAACACTGATATTCCCAAGACACACAGGTCACTGACACGCCAACTGTAACAAACAGGTTAAAAATATATAACTATAATTACACAGTAATTCTGAAGATATAAATAGTCTCTAGATGGAAATTATATTTTTAAGTGCAGAGATTTAGAACATGGTTATGTGCAAAAGCCTTAGTTCAGCCAAGTTTCAGTGATTGAGTGCTGTTGTTACATATATAACAGCAAACGTATAAAAAGGTAAAATAACAGCATGCACGTCTTGGAACTAAACCTACAAATTTACTCCAGTCTTATTTATATTCGGGTGTTTATACATTTTTTATCACTAATGCTGCCTTTACATATATGCTTACCTAAATATTTAACATTGTGTGTTAGGGTAAGTAACTGATACATGGATCTACTTTGTTAAAATGACTTAAACTGCGAGTATAATGACTGACTGATTCTGTTGCCTTGTTGTTGTGATGGGGCAGCTTCAGGCTTCAGCAAACCTCGGTCATGTGACAGACCCTGTCCAATGAGGCTTCAGCTAGCTTCGGTCATGTGACAGGCCCTGTCCAATGAGGCTTCAGCTAACCTCGGTCATGTGACAGGCCCTGTCCAATGAGGCTTCAGCTAACCTCGGTCATGTGACAGACCCTGTCCAATGAGGCTTCAGCTAACCTCGGTCATGTGACAGACCCTGTCCAATGAGGCTTCAGCTAACNTCAGCTAACCTCGGTCATGTGACAGACCCTGTCCAATGAGGCTTCAGCTAACCTCGGTCATGTGACAGACCCTGTCCAATGAGGCTTCAGCTAACTTCGGTCATGTGACATACCCTGTCCAATGAGGTTTCAGCTAACTTCAGTCATGTGACATACCCTGTCCAATGAGGTTTCAGCTAACTTCGGTCATGTGACATACCCTGTCCAATAAGGCTTCATCTAACCTCAGTAATGTGAGTATGTGAATAATGTGAATAAGTTTTATGAGGCTTCAGCTAATCTCGGTAATGTGATCCTGTCCTATGAGGCTTCAGCCTGCTGTCGGTGACCAGGCCAGCGAACCCTTGTCAAAGTGCCAGCTTCAATCTGCTTTACTCATAATGCATTAACAGCCAAGCCATGCCTGACATGGGAATTCGGTACTTTGCATAATCATAGCACAAAAATAATAATAATAAAATTAAATCTGAATTTTACCACATAAGGCAGACTCAGGCAAAAAAGCTGGCTATTTTTCCCGACCCATGTGATAATTTGAAAAAATAAAAAAAAAAAAAAAAATATATATATATATATATATATATATATATATATATATATATATATATATATATATAT